AGACGAAAACTTTAAAAACTTTTTACGATATTAAAAGAAAGATAACTTGTTTTTGTTTATATACCTTATGTTTTATTTAAAAAGAAAAACAAGAAAAACACGTACTTTTAATTCATAATTTATCAGTTTTTTAATATTTATTTCAATTCGAACAAGTAAGGAGTCATAAATTAAATTCCACGTTTAAAAGAAACACGGTTCGTTTTTCTTTTAACAATGTAAAAAAAATGCAATGTCTTTTTAAATTATTTTATTTTAACATCGGCATATGAATTTCCGGGACTTATAAACGTAAGAGGAGAGGTGAATTAACAGGAGATAACTGATAACTGACATCCGTTAGACATGGTACGTGGAACTAGAACAGTCTATCCCAGTGAGCGAAATAAAGGGTTCAGTTCGACATTCCAACCATCTGAAGAAGGCCGGAGAGTACAACGGCCGAAACATTGTGATAAATATAGCAACAAAGTTGAGGACAATAGTCCGAATAATGTAAATAGTGTACATAATACCCATAATGATACTAATAATCTCAGAAATATAGACAGATATTCCTAAGTGATATTTCGCTATCACATTTTTTTTAATGAATTTAGATTGTCAAGTTGTCGATTTTCAAAATAGTTCTGGATTTACGGTTAAAATTGAGGAAATAATCCACAACGTTAGTTCGTAGTATCCTCTTTTCCCGATTTTCAGTGGCAGGTATTGTGAAAAGGACACATTTCCTTTCAAAACACAATTTTGACTCAATTCGAGAACTGTGTAGAACGTTACAGTTATTCACTGTCAGATACAAAGTAAAGTATCCAAAAAGAAGAGGCCGTTATTCAAAATAAAAAATAAAAAAAAAACATTATTCATTGAACAGATTCGCTTACTCAATGTAAAGATACCCTTATTCATAATAAAAGATACTTATTCAAAATAATGAGACCGTTCTTTACGATTGAAAAGATGAGAATTCGAAATAATGTTAGCATTCAGGATGTGGGACCTTATGGCTCTCCACAATTTCCTGCCTTTTTGTAGCTCCTATCAAAAGGACAAACTTTTGCTATCTTTCCTAATCCGTTCTGCCAACCAAGGTCGCTATTATTACTAGAATTAAGGAAGGTAGCTCGCTTCAACATTTAGCATAAATATAGCAACAGAGCAGCGATAGGGTAGTAACCTTTCTGTGGAAAATGGGTTATAAAGTTGAAAATAATTCATCACCCACAGGGCCGCCTAGAAGCTAACTCTGCCAGGGCTGGAAAGTGAGGATTTATGCCGTTTCAGAATAAATACATTAGTAAATGTGCTTAGAGCAAACGAAAAGAAACAACTTTTGTGTTGATGGATTTGACTAAGTAATAATCTGAAGGTGTAGTAATTTTGGTAAGACGGTGGAAGTATTTTTATATGGTTACTAAAGAAAGAAGCCACCTCGCATTATTCTAATGAAATATTATATTTTTTTCATCTTAAATCATAATAATAATAATAATAATTATAATATTATCATCATCATCATTAATATCATCATTTTCACCCTAAGCAACCCCCCAAAAAAAAAAAACACACACACACACCCAACACTCTCGGATGCAAGCAGATACTGAGAAAGAAAGAAACAGAGCGGGTAATAAAAAAAAAAACCGGATTCAAGAAGACAGAAGATGACGATTGACACTGTGGCGTTATTGACAGCGTAAATCATACCGCACATTTTTTTACTTTACGAATGTGTAAGCAAACGAAAAGCAAACAAGAGAAAGAAAATAACTTTCCATAACAGGTACAATATTCATATTAATGTCAACGGTTTTGCATGAATTGTTAATATGAGTTACTTCCCTTCGTCTGAATTAAAGTCTTTACTACTGAATTTTTTTTTACCTGAGCTTACAAAAAGCTGAATTAACTTGTCGCTCAAAATGTTCACTGAAAGAGAGTTTAAAGAATTATATAAAGCTGAAAATATGTTGATAATCTTTTAGATTTAAAGAAGTTGGAGAAGTGAATGTTCCGTAATGTTTAATTTGTTTTCGTTGCTCGTAGTTGGATGTATTGTTCGTAATGCTTTGTAATAAAGTTTCGTAAGATTCAATAGTGTGATTGAATAGTTCCAGAAGTTGGTGAATGAATCGTTCAGTTGTAATTTTAGCTTGAATTACAGTGAAGTTATTTCATGTTAAATAACTTCAGATTCTAATTTTGTACTTCGCTACAGTAGTAATACAAGCGTCGTAAAGTCGTTTAGCAAATCCTAGTCGTCATAAATTCTCACTGACTGGGTTCACTCGTACATTCAATTTATATGTTTTTAGGTTACGTGACAGGATCCACAAAGCATTTATTTTCGTCTGGTTAAAAACTAGGTTGATGTTATTCGGACGTAGTGGTGAACAGGTAAATTGTATTTTTAATATTTGTTAAACTCAGAAAGCGTCTTACAAAACTCAGTCTGAAGCCTCATATGTTTTGTTTTGCTGATTGAGAACGATGTACGTGAAGATACAGGAGATAATTTTAATATTTATTGTCCAATGAGAAGTTAAGGTTTTCTGAAAATATGTATGAAGCTGTGATCCGCATTTTGCACAAAAATCGACATTGATGAAAAAGTGGTAGCGGAATTTATGGTTACAACTAGAAATCTCAACAGTGAAATTATGAAGATCTATCTGCCAATCAAGTACTGCGCTTAAATTCGTAAAGTCGAGGTAACAACGAGGAAAGCTCATCAGAACACTTACCGTGAAGATATTTATAGAAAAGGCAAAAGAAGCTCATGTTACAGCAGTAGGAAAGTGGTTGAAGCCGAAATGCCAGGTCAGGGCCGATAACGTTGACAGTTTTTTTTTTTTTATTATTTTAGTAAGAATCTCTAGACACATAATAAAGGCACCAGGCCATATGTGGCAGCAATATTCGATACACGGGCGAATAGTTGAGCTAAAGAGATTCTGTTGAAAAAAAAAAGAAGAAAAAAAACTCTACCACGACATACTGAACCGATTTCCTAGCAGCTGACTTACCAATTGATTCAATATAATCATTCCACTTCATCTCAGTAGAAAACCAATGCAGATCTAACTTTCGAAATTCAAGTCCTGTAAAACATAGTCAGCGCCAACTTCATATTTGGTCAAATTATAGTAATCAGTTTCATTATCAACATATGAAATCGTATAAAAGTGATTGTCATATTTTTTGATGTAACCGATGTACTCACAATTGATACCATCAATTGTCCAAATATGTTTAATTGTGCGTCCAACTATATTGCCTGTTAGGATTTGTTTCAGGACTTGTCCCTGTTTAGGAAAGTTAACTTCCAAAGAATCAATGTTTAGCTCTTTCAATTTTTTTTGCACTTCAGCCCTTTTCTTTTTTTGCTGCTGGTCTTCTTTAATTTTCAATCTTTTGGAAATTTCTTCCTGAACTTGCTGCTGCTGATTTTTTTTAATATTTATCCTTTGTCTGCCGTACATTAGTGTATGCTGAATATAACAATGGAACTGCTCAGCGTCCAGCTCATCGATGAATTTCCTTACACGATTTCGCTTGGCCTTTATAACGTCACTTATGCTTGATACATAAGCATTAGGCGCAAGTTTCTGTCGTTCACAAAATTCACCGATGATGCTTTCAGCGAGCATAGTGTGTTGTCTCGCCGATGTTAATAGACTTCTTGGAGAAGCCTCTATTGTCTTGAAAGTTTTTTCATACTGCCTGCTTAAAACCTCCACAATCCCTTTCAAGCAGGCAGTTATCATTTTGCGAAATAATTGTTCATTTGCTGGGGCAATCAGTAGGGATGATGTAACATTCTCTGGAAGGGTATTTCCAAAGAAATCCGTTGTGGAGGCGAAAATGGACATAGGGTTGTTGATGAGTACCTTCACATTTTCAATTACTCCCTTGACAATGTTCATAGTGTCAACGGGATCTTTTTGATTGTCAACACTAGTATAGAAGGTACTCATCCAAGGTCCTGATAGCATCTTCCCTATGATTCCCAGCACTTGCATTTCAACAATAGCAGCTTCTTCCATAATTATTTTCTGTAGCTTCTGGACAGTTTTATTTGTTGAGGAAAGTCCCAAAACAAATTGCCTACATTGATCGAAAATGGGAAAGTAAGTTGCACCTAGATGAAAAATTACATGCAACCGATTCCCTTGAAATCTAGTGATATTGGACCATGGAATACCTTGTTGTTCGATAAAGGCCTTCATTTTTGGAATAAGGCCCAATTTATCACTATATCTAAAGGAATTGAATCCTGCAAGAATTCGCCATGCTAGGCACTCACTCACATTCACATTTTCCTCGCAATCACTCAGGACCTTCCTCGTTTTTGTTGCCACTGTCTCCAATGGATGTAGATTGCAATGAAGTTCTATAAGCTTTATCTGCCACTCCTTTTCCAATAATGCCACCGTCAAATGGTTAACAGGAGCCTGGTCTGTCAAGCAGCATTTTATTTTCGAAAGTATTATTTGCAAACTGGCATCAACACTTAGGCCAGTAGACGATGAGCCTGCTTTAGCTAAGTTATTGATGCAGTCACAAATATGCTGCTTGTAGTCCATAGCAGTTCCTCCAGGAAGACGTTCCAGTGACACAAGATAGGCGGCTGAAGGAGTTGTTAACAAAACACAGTTCACATGTTTGCCATCTTGTGTGGTTGAGTCGAAAAGTAAAGTGCAGTTTTCTGCACTTTGCACAGCAAGGAACGTCTTCACATCTGAAAGAAAGCCAAGCTCCCCCACCATTCTATACACTGTCGTATTACTTTTTCTGAAAGAGCAGTGATCCAAGGATAAAGTCCTTGAAACTGCTGTCACCAAAGTGGAAGCATGAGAAGCAGGAACTCCATTCAAAAGACAGTCATAATGGAGTTTCCTGTTCACGAAATAGTTGGAAATTGTTTTGTTTTTTTCAGTTCACAAATTTTTTTGGAAAGTAAAGAAATTTTTTGATTTTTTTTTAACAATGTTTTTCGCATGGCAATTACTTTGCTATATTTGGACAAAGGAATTGTAGCAGACAGGGTTGAAGTTGGAGCAGCAGATAAGGTTGAAGTTGGAGCAGCAGATATAGTTGAAGTTGGATCAGCAGATATAGTTGAAGTTGGAGTAGCAGATATAGTTGAAGTTGGAGCAGCAGATATAGTTGAAGTTGGAGCAGCAGATAAGGTTGAAGTGGCAGCAGACAGGGTTGAAGTAGCAGCAGACAGGGTTGAAGTAGCAGCAGACAGGGTTGAAGCTGCAGCAGACAGGGTTGAAGCTGCAGCAGACAGGATTGAGGTTGCAGCAGACAGGATTGAGGTTGCAGCAGACAGGTTAGGCCTTGCAGCAGACAGGGTTGAAGCTGTAGCAGACAGGGTTGAAGCTGCAGCAGACAGGGTTGAAGCTGCAGCAGACAGGGTTGAAGCTGCAGCAGACACATTTGAAGTTTCAACTGGGATGGCGGTGGAAGAGGCAATGGAAGATGTGGCAGAAGAAGAAGCAGATTGGACCACCACCTCACATTTTTTTTTAAAATCAGAAAAATTAACTCCAAAATTTCTTTTTTTGTAACATTCAGAGAGTCGTTTAACTGAATGTTTAGAAATAGGAGGGAATCCATTTTTTGAATTCTGCTGGTTGGCCCATTCTGCAATCTTCACTAAAGATCCATATTTATCAAAAAATTTTTTGAAAATATGGCCACACTTGATTTGTTCTCGTGTATTTACACACGCATAACTTTGAAGAATTTCTTCTGTTCGTTTCACCATCTAAAAATTAAAAAATTAAATACAGGTAACTAGATAAATAAATTGAAATAATTCCAATGCTTTAATGATATAACATGCATTCCAGTTTTTCCGGAAATATCGAACGCATATTTAAAAGAAAATTACTAAGTTTTTGTAAGTGCAGAAACTTTATTTAAAATCCAAATATGGGCATTGTTTTCAATTTACAAGTTTTCACGGTAGTAAAACACGACAATATTTTTTGTTGAGATAGTTGAAGTTTTATTAAGCAAAACAGACTAAGAATTAAAACTATGATAACATTTATTTTAGTTTTTTAAGTGATATTAATTTTATCGGACTTTTAATTCTTAGTCTGCTACTTTGCTAATAATAATTTCAACTACGTAAAATAAAATAATTTAAAAAGACATTGCATTTTTTTACATTGTTAAAAGAAAAACGAACCGTGTTTCTATTAAACGTGGAATTTAATTTATGACTCCTTACTTGTTAGAATTGAAATAAATATTAAAAAAATGATAAATTATGAATTAAAAGTACAATGTGTTTTTTTAAAAATAAAACATAAGGTATATAAACAAAAACAAGTTATCTTTCTTTTAATATCGTAAAAAGTTTTTAAAGTTTTCCCCAATTTAAAAAAAAGAAGTAACGTTTTTTTTACATATTTCCAGTTTTATTTAAAAAAAAAAACACACACACACACACACAATTGTACTTTTATTTCATAATCTGTCAGTGAAGAGTTATGAATACTACGTTAACAGAAACACGGAAAAAAACTGGCATCATTTGTGCATTAGATTTTGAGAAATGGATAAAAATATTAAAAAATTGATGGGTGTAAGAATAATTTCGTCGTTTACTATAGTGGCGAAGCAAGGTTAGTTAGTATCAGGATAGTATTTTTTGTTGCATCTTCCCAGAAGGAATACAAATTTACAATGCAAATTAACCCCTTAAAGATATATATATATATATATATATATATATATATATATATATATATATATATATATATATATATATATATATATAACTATTACAATACAATATTAATTACATTAACCCCTTAAAGATATATATTATCTTTAAGGAGTTAATGTGCATTGTAATATTGTATTCCTTCTGGCGAGTGGCGACATAAATACTAACCTGATACTAACTAACCCTACTACGCCACTATAGTAAACGACGAAATAAGGTGTATTTCGGCAGCAAAAAACATGTTTTGTTATGGACAAGTTGTGTCTATCAATTTTTTTAATAAATCTCCGAATAAATTGTTTTATCGGCAAATTTGCCAAAATTTATATTAACTTTTAATTTATATTATTTTCATAAGTACTTTCGAATGATACTCCATTCATTTTCAATGATTGTTCTCCTTATTTAATGTTGGCCGCTTTTATTATAACAGTCTCCAGATTTTGGAGTCTTTCTTTTTACTGTATTCTGTATAAGTAGGTACCTTCATGAGATCGCTAAAAACAAAGCATAGATTGATGAAAAAGACTCCTAACTTGACGAAAACAAAATTTTAGCGTCTAAATGTTTATGTTATCATTAAGAGGAAAGATCAAAGTATTTTTTAAAATGTTTCCTTCTTTTTAGAACATTCTAAATTTTGATTAAAAAAAACGTTGTTTCTCTTCGTATCACCGGAAAAATAAAATAATGTAAAATTTTAGCGCGTTTTTTTTCTGTATGACAGACATTAATTTTGAAAATCTTGCAAAAATAAAAATAATTGTCGGATTTTAATGAAACTTTCAAAAACTATTCACAAATGATGGAACTTATTAGAAATATGTTTTTCTTTTTTAAAGTCATGGCAAAAATTATTTTCATATGTATTACCCCCCCCCAACTAATTGTACGAAAACTCTATAATTTCAATTTTTGGAAGATTAGTGATTATATTAGTTAAAAGCACAAGGCTTTGAGGAAACCAAATCATGTTTTTTTTTGTTTTGTTTTTTAGTTGGACCACTTCTACCTGAAAATCATCTTAATTGTAACATACAAAACTCAATAAAACAAAAATACTATTTAATTTCAAAAGCTTTTAATTACTTTTATTCATTTCAATGAACATGGACAATATTGTCTGAAAGCAAAACGATATTTCGATAAAAAATGAATTTTTAAGACAATTATTTGTTATTTCTGAAATATTTTATTATTTTTACATTATGTTGTTAATTCTTCTAAAATTAGGGAAAAAATTGTAGAATTTAAGGAAATGTTGTTATTAAGTAGAGATATATTTACAGATTATAATTTCCAAAGCTTCTTACAAACTAACGAACAACAGTATATGAAAAAATAAAATTTGTGTCAATAATAACACTGTAAATCAAATCTATGGAAGACCGGAAGTATCATGCGTGCAATAAAAAAAAAAGTCACGTGGATTGAGTTCCTGTCTAGTATTTAATTTAAATACTGAATTTTTAATACAATTATTTGTTATTTCTTTAATTATAATAGATTTTTACATTTGTTGTTAAAATATAAAATTAGATAAAAGCCGCATTCAGTTTCGTAAATGTCCTTTAGAGATAGATTTATTTTTGCGAAACACGTGTAGAGAAGTTAATTTGATTTTTCAATTTCAACTGAGAAGGGTACCTACAAGTATCAGTATCATCTTATGAAATTTAAGTTTGTATTTTATGTACACTTCAGATAAAATTTAATAAGAAATGTACCGATAAATTAATTAGATACCTTTCTTATAAAATTTGATATCACTCTCAACAGTCTTATTTTAATTTCTTTATATTTTCCATAAAGCATCGTAAACGTAAAGGTGAAAGTTAAGTACAAAAAAAAAAAAAATTTAAATTAGAGCGCTAAAAGTTTTACTTCAAAATAACGAGGCAAATAATTTGTTCACGTAAATATAAATAAGTTCACTTCTCTCCTTCCGTAGAAGGAATTATCCTCACGTAAGCGATCAAAACGTCATGAATTTCTTTCGTCACCTGTCAAGTGACGTGAAAGGTTATGACCTGCTCTGTTTTATTTTCAAACTACTTCTTTTCGGCGCAGAAACTAAGTCAAGCTTAGTTCAAAATATTTTAAATAAACATTATAATTTCTGATTTTCTTAAAATAAGTTTTGAAAAAATTATAATTGTTTTTTAAAAGTATTTCAAACTGAGATTTTCATTTTTTTTTATAAATTAAAAAAATGGCTGGCATGATCGATTATCTGTCAATTTTGCTGACTAAAAAAGCAAGATTTTTAACGAAACTTTTGGACGTGCTAGGAACGATTAAAAAATATAAAAAATACCCGAAAATACTTTGATCTTTCATCTTAATAATAACATAAACATAAATAATGATAAAGTTTTGCTTTCGTCAAGTTTGGCGTCTTTTTCGTCATGCTATACTCTTTTTAGCGATCTCATGAAGGTACCTATGTCGAAGATTTTGGTGTTGTCAGTTGGAATTTGTCTAATGTTAATATTATTTTCTTTGTTTGTCATATGTTCATCGTTATGAGCATGAATTGCATTAAATAATGTCAAATTGTGGGTTTGTTGAAGTTATTAAATAATTAAACAGTATTCTCAGTTTTATAGCATGGACGTGTTCTTATATATATATATATATATATATATATATATATATATATATATATATATATATATATATATATATATATATATGACCTGAGGATTGCGTTTAAGCATGAACGTATTGTCGCTGCTGGCCGTTGAAATGCAATTTTGTGTTTACATACATTTTATCCCTGACATCGTCTATTTTAACTCATAAATATGGCATAACTTTTTAACTTTAATATATATATATATATATATATATATATATATATATATATATATATATATATATATATACCGACTTTAGATTTATTGTTCTTCATTATGTCATTAATCTAGAAAGTATTCGCCATTTTGTAAAACTAACAAATTCTTAATCATTCATATTTTATGATGGTTTTTGGTTTAAGATCAATATATTTTGTTTGCTGTCTATAAGAACTTGTGTCCGATATAAAAGATTGATTATTTAGTGAGGTGTTAGTCTTGGTCACCGCTTCGTTCCGCGGCAAAATGAAATGCTTAGAATTGTCGTCTTTAATTCTCTTCTTGCTTTGTATTCACAACGTGAAATCACAGTGTAAGTTTATGAATGTTATCTATAAATCCTTTTATATTTCTTCTTGGCGTATGTTGCTTTTAGTACTTTATGGAGTTCCTTATCAATATTTTCCTAACTGGCTTATCTTGGTGTAAAGATATATTTTTTTTTAGTAATATAAATAACAAATAATTTTACGTTGATTTTTAATTCGGTATCTCCAAAACCATGCGCACTTTCGGCACTTATAGAAAATTGGCAACACAGTTTTAAAACAATTACCAAATATCAGTGATCTATCCGTTAACATTGAAATGTTTGACGCCTATTCTTTATGAATTAACTTCATGTTGTCTCCTTATTTAGTTTTGGGTAAATTTGTCCAACTTTTACTTAACTTGTGGCTGATACGTGCTAGTGAATTTTGAATGTTCTTAATATTTACATTTTTATGGAGTTAAATCCTCGAAGTTGCTATCTCATTAAAATGTATTTAATATCTACCGTAAATATATCGAACATATGATTTGAAATTATTTTATGAAAACTCAATTATTTTCCATGGAGAGTTTCTGATACAAATGTCTGGGACAGATATGCGATTTTTGAGAGAATTTTAAGCGTTTTAATTTCTCTTTAGTTGGCATCTATGAAACTGGCTAATTGATTTGTGCGGAAGTTAGTCTATTTTATTGT